CTTGCTTTGCATATGATTTTAAAAAACAGTTTTATAGTTTGTCTTAATTTTAATTGCCTTAATATTTTTAAAGTATAAGTAGTTTTAAGAAGATATATTACAAGTATTAGAAGTATAAAGGTCAGAAGTTTGCCCCGCCGCTTTAAAATTTATCGAATGGCACTCCTCATAATTAGGGTTGTCAAAATCGACAAATGTGTGACAATATATTTGTGGTACATTATAAAACACATTAAATATATCAACCGAAAATGATATTAAATTTTAAAATAACCGAAATAAATTGTAATATTATTAAATACTCGTATCTAATATTATTAAATTTTAATAAAATTATCAATTTAAAAAGTGTGAAATCTTCTGCAAAACCAAACCTACATCCTTTTTTTTGTTTAATAAATGGTGTATTTCAAGACGATTAATGTAGTTTGAAGATGAATAAATTAATAGATCTTAAATTAATAGCTATTATACGAAAATATAATATTTTTCGCCTGCATCGAAAAATATGATACGTCATTCATTCATTTAGTATTATTGAAGATCAAGCCAGTTATATAAAATCTCACAATCAGAGTAAAGACTTTATTTCAATCAGAAACTTAAGTTATTATTAATAATAAAATAATTTTTATTTTTTCAGGCGTTAGGAAATATTCATTATTAATAATTTTTTTATGCTCTATATGCAGTCAACAAATATAATAATATTAAAAAGAGAATAATAATAGGAAAATATAAAATGTGTAATAACAATAAAAAATTAGTAATAATTTATAATAACTATTAATAAAACATTAAAAGCGCATCACTTAGTGGGACAATATAATTACCAAGATTTAGGCTCTAAGTTATTAAAAAAGAAACATTAAATGAATCCAGACACTCCAATTAAGGTTAAATAGTCGCCTACAAGTATAATTTTTTAAATCACATGCATACATTCCCATAAGCAATTAAGAGGATATACAGAAACTCGTTATCCATTTTTGTAAAATAGTTTTTCCACATTTAGTGCAAGAGATCTCAATTAAATTGTGCTAATCAAGTCGTTATAAAACGATTAGGAGTTTTTCTTATTAAAGGTGGTCTCGTAAGAGGCTTAATTTAGTAGACTTGCTGTCTTGCTGAATTTGCTGACTGTATCATATTTTTGCAACGACACTACTCTCTAATTATAAATGTATCACATATTTCGACACATCACCTAACATATTTTTAAAGGTGCTCTTATATCAGAGAATTTCATTTTGTGCAAAAATTTCAGAAATCTCGGAATTTTTTGTCATGTCACAAGCACGAGTAACATGGAACAAATTGAGATCATAAATGGTGTACTTAACACGTTAACTGAATTTTATGGAGTGTGATTATACAACTTAACAAAAAATTATGTTCGCAATTGTAAATACAATTATTTAAATTGTATAATATTGAAAAATATTTTTTTTTTATTTTGTATATAGAAGTTGTTTGGAAAGAGAACGTCATTTGCTGTTGTATTGCATTTTAGAAAAACAGGAATCTTTGCAATCTAATTAAATTGTAGTCTATTCGAAATTATATTTAATATTTTTTTGCTCATAAAACCTTTTATGGAACTACTCCCATGTTGCTAACAATATTATTATGTTAAAAGTATTATTTCCTTTAAATTAACTGGAACGTTAATACTTTCTGATAGAAAAACAATTTTAACAATACAAAATTAATATAAAAATTACCTTCGATTTTAGCACCCAATTATAGATTAATGACATTTGATATATTTTTTCCAACTAACATGAAAGGTATTAAATGAGCCATTCACCTGTGCCATTCTATTTTATGACACACTTAAAATAAGTTAGAAGTTAAATTTAAACTTATTTTTCGTTTATTTATTAAATTTGTTAAAAAAAATGCATTTATAAATAATGCATTATATAAATAAACTATTGGGTGAAAAAGTGGGTATTAGTTTTTGTCCTGTACATTGAAAGACAATCGTGAGGGCTATTATATATTAATTAAAAATGATTAAAAAAATTAAATTTACGAAATTTCAAGTTATCAACAAAAAAACAAATTTAATATAATTTATTTAAATTAAAAATTAAAAAGATTTAATGTATCTTTGAAAAATATATTCAAATGCGAACTCTAGTAAGTGCTTTTATAACTGCTTAACTACTAACATATTAGCAAGTTTAGCAAGTGCATTTTTCAAACCAGGGATGTAAAAATAAAAATAATTTTAATATACAATTAATCTAAATATAGAATATATAACACTTGTTCGAATACGTTAACTCACAAACTAGAACATTGTGCCTTCATGACATTAGTGTATATAAAAATTGTACACAATTTTTTGTTTTAACTGTTTAAAATTATTTATTGTTTAACCTAAAATTGAATCAAATGTACACTAAATGTAATCAATATAAACAACTTTTGATTTAATAATAAACTAAATAACTGTAAATATTTAGCAATTGTATTCAAGGACTGTAAGACAATAATAATCAAATTTTAACATCACAAGTCAGAATTAAAACTTATTCCAATTTGAAATGTTTAAACATATCAAAAAAAATAATATAAAACAAATTAATGTTATTAGTCTCAAATGTTTGAGACAAACAATAAATATTTCGTCAAGTTCAATTAACTAAGATAATTAACATTTTTTTAATTCTCATTTACAAGAAAAAAATAACATTATTTAAATCTTAAGTTTTCACTTAAAGAACTTAAAGTTAAAATAATATAAATTTAATGTAAATAACAAATAAGATGCAAACAAAAAAAGATACACGTACTAAAAAATACTTATTCTAAATTAATACGTGTAAAAATCAAACTTCATCTTATAATTTTCAAAAAATTGGAAGATGAGATTTAAAACTCAAAATCAAATTCAAAAATAATTAAATAAAAACTCTTGCTTTCTAAGCGCTAAAAAATGAAATGTTTTATAAACAAAATTTTAATATTAATGCCTTTAGTATTAATATTAAAATTTAAAGATTGTTTAAAGTTCGTTATTGATTTTTTCTCAAATCTACACTTCAATTCATATGAAGTGGGCTTTAAGCGTAATCAATATGCTTCGAAGCAATTAAGCCTGTCTGTTCAACCTGTTACATTTAGAGCAACTAACTTTTTAGTAAATTAAAATTCATAAATGATTTTAAAAGTCTTACAACGTGCTTAGTTTTAACAACTTAAAAATTATTTTTATATTTTTTTTAGGATATTAATTACAGGTCATTGTAAATTTATCACATCTAGCAAAATGAACCAACGTTCAATATATGAAAAGAACGACATACAATTTTTTTGCACTTCATTTAAATTTAAACCATAACTAATAAATGCGTAAATATATACATATGTTCGTTTTTGTGTGTATTAACTTTCAAGCATTATTTTGGAAATATCATTTTTGTTAAAACTACCATATAATTGGCTCAAAATGTAGTTTAAAATGAATAATGGCTTGTGTAATATAAAATACCGAAGTAATTGGAATACTTGTTTAATTAATAAAAATATTAGTATTTCCAAATTTGTTTTTTATGATAAACATGAACACTTAAAACCTCATATTAAGAAAGGCTATAATCATTTATATAAAAGTCTATGCAATATTATTAAAAAAAATAATAATGTTCATTAATTTGTAGTGAATATCTTTTACCATATAATAAGATTATTCTCATAAGAAATACAATACTTAATCATTTTTATGCATAAATTTTACAACTAGTTTAAGCATATAATATTTCAGTTCACTTTATATTTATGGTATACGTATTCAAGATATATTAAAATGATTTTTTATCAAAAGTAGTAAAATCACAATAAAATATTTTAAAAAAAACTCAACTGCACAATTGTAAATGTTTATGTTTATTTGAACAGCGCATTATATATATATATATTATGTAAAGCTTAAATAAATTTAATGACAATATAAAACTTGTTCTATTACACATTTAAGTCTATTTTCAAAATAAATATATGAGTATATGGTTAAATACGCTGTGATATATTTTAATAAGTAATTTGTTTCTATGAATGAGATTTCCAATAAAATAAAATAGTAGATATTAATGAGTTATAAATATTAAAGAGAAACAAATAGTTCCAATTTAAAGATAGTAAAATTATTTGTTATAACAGTCGTAATTTTTTCTTTCAGAGTTGTTAAGTCTGGTTAAAACAAATTGGCATCACTTTAAAAATATGTTAAATGCTTGTTTATGACATATGATTTTTGTTGTTTTGTGTATAATATGAAATATAAAAATCGAAAACACTAAAAGTTAATTAATTTAAATAAAAGAAAAGTAAATTATTAATAAAAAAAAAATGAATATTAAAAGGGCGATGGTAAGAATATTTTCTTATTTAATTAAATTAATTTATTTATTTTAACTTATTAGTAATATTAAATTTTAATTAATGACCGAAATTTTACAATATACCTATTTCCAGTAAACATTCACAATCGACTGATATTTAATTAGGTGTACTGAAACTTATGACTTATAATTTTTTACAAGTTGAACCTAACTTTAAAGATTTCAAAAGTATTATTGATTTTAAAAATTCACACGTTTTCTTTTATAAGTTGCAAGTATTTGTTTGCTACTCAGAAAGAAAAAATTACGGTTAATATCCCAGCCTGTTGCTGGCAAAAACATAGAAAAAAAATCTCGTAAGCCTTTTAATGACTAACACATTATAAACAGAAAGTTAATAATATAGTAAAAGATAAAATTATTTTATAAATGTTCATAAGTTCATATAAATAGTAATTTCAAAATAAATATTATAATGATGATAACGGAATTTTTGAAATATTATGTTTTTTAATTTAATATATTGTATTTTACTGAACATACGTAGCGTGTGTTCAGTAAAACACATGTATGATAAGTCAGCTGTTCTAATTTGTTGAAATTAGTTGGAACTTCATTCCATACAATATAAAAAGTTTATATTTTATATTTAAAAACATATGTTTTAATTTATGTAAAATAATAATATATTATATATTAATGCCAATAACGAACGTGGGAAAGTAGCTAAATTCTCCATTATACAATTACTTAGTACTGAAAGTTTATATTACCGATCTGTTCATACAAGTGTGATTCTGATAAAAACCTGTTGATTTGCTCCTACTGGAATTTAGTCTGGTTTTAAGCTTTGAATAAGATTGTTCTACATATCATTTACAATAAAAATTTATTGTTATAATTTAAAATAAGTTGCAAAATGAATGAAATGAGTATGTACGAAGGATATAAATCCCCTTTGAGCACTCGATATGCTAGTAAGGAGATGCAGTTTTTATTTAGTGATCAACATAAATTTGCTACTTGGAGGCATTTATGGATTTGGTTAGCGCAAGCTGAACAGGTATATTTTTAATTTCTGCATTTTTATTGGTTTAATATTAAAAAAATATTTAGTCTCTTGGATTAGCAATAACTGATGCACAAATTGGTGAAATGAAAGCAAATGTGAATGATATTGATTTCCAAGCTGCCGCTGCTGAAGAACGCCTTACCCGGCATGATGTCATGGCCCACGTACATGTTTTTGCAAAACAATGCCCACTAGCTGCACCAATTATACACTTAGGAGCTACTTCATGCTATGTTGGTGATAATACGGATTTAATAATATTGCGAAGTGCATTAGATCTTTTGTTACCGCGATTAGCATCCGTTATACATTGTTTGAAAGAATTTGCTTCTATGAATAAATCTCTACCTACCTTAGGATTTACGCATTTACAACCGGCACAATTAACCACAGTTGGGAAACGTGCATGCCTATGGATACAAGATTTAGTTATGGACGAACGTGCTCTACGTCGTTGTCGTGAAGATTTGAGATGTCGTGGTGTAAAAGGTACAACTGGTACACAAGCGTCATTTTTACAACTTTTTAATGGTGACAGTGAAAAAGTTAAACAGTTAGATTTGCTAGTAACTAAATTAGCAGGATTTGAAAAACCTTATGGAGTTACAGGACAGACATATAGTCGAAAAGTAGATGTCGAAATAATTGGAGCACTTGCTAGTTTAGGTACTACTGTGCATAAAATGTGCTCTGA